AGGAAGCAATATACAGTAACAGATAGGGCATTTAATGAGGAGAATTGAATTTGAATGCTAGCTATATTCTAGTTAATATTTTAAACTTGTCTCTGAATCTCTTACCTCATTGAGCTAGCAGATAAACTAGTAACCTACTGGGAACTAAGCATCAAGCCAGCAGTCGAGTGTCTACCGGCTGCTGGTTGCTCAACACAGTACAGCCTGTTCTTCTAGTGAGCTAGTGGACGTCCGAGGCTAGCATATGTGAGGCCAGCTCTACCTCTAGGAGTTCATTATGAAAGGATAAAAGACCCCACCGCTCTCAAACCAGGGCCATAAAACAGGCCCAAGGCATCAAGAAATCTGCCACCCATAGAAGTCCAGAAAGCAGGCCCGGCGGTGGTGGCGCACACCTTTAATCCCAGCACTCGGGAGGCAGAGCCAGGCGGATCTCTGTGAGTTCGAGGCCAGCCTGGGCTACCAAGTGAGTTCCAGGAAAGGCGCAAAGCTACACAGAGAAACCCTGTCTGGAAAAACAAAACAAAAAACAAAAAAGAAGAAGTCCAGAAAGCAGCCCACCTCACCTCGTGCCCTGAAACCCAGAGGTCACAAAAGCAGATAGACTCTCTCCCACCCTGCAATTTCAAAAAGACAATTTCTGGGTCTAACAAGCCATGCCCTGCCTCTCTCTAAGCACTACAAAAATGTTCTCAGACTTTACATAGCGTGTTCTCCTGCACCCTCAAAAACCAAGTCACAGGATTTGGGGGCATCAGCCTCTCAAGCCAATAAAAGTTTGCTCTTGTCATTTTGAGAATGAACTGAGTCTATTCTTTCATTTTCCTCCACTGACATCTTTCTTACAAAGAAGACCTACACTGTCACCCCTACTGAGTATGGAACTCAGGGCACTGCGTGTACCCTGAGCTCAACAGATGCAACCCAGGCCTCACGACGTAGCTCACTAGTGTTTCATTCTGTCCCCTACCCACACACCTAAGGCTCATTTTATAACATAGGTCCAGTGTGCCTCCATTTCAGTTAGGGCATATCACATGATCTCAGATGTAGGATTCTTTTTACTTGTGCCATCATGTCTTTTCTCCTAAAGTTTTGGATTTGGAAATCAATTCAGATTTGGAGTTTTCAAATGAAAGATGCAGAAACTAAATAGTTACGCTTTGCCATGGGTAATTATTTACACTGGAGCACATTCAGAGAATTTTCTCTGTCCTTGCTGGCTACAGTGACGTCTATGTTCAAAGGTGAACTGAAAAGGAGATGCAACTAAGCCCTGTGTTTACAGGACCAGATATTCCTCTCTAATGTGTAATGTTCTAGGAACCACATATCGAGTCCCATTCCAGAATATAATTAAAAGGTTGGGCTGTGGTAGAACTGCAAGTTTCTTGAAACCTAAACTAAAAGTGAGATGTCTGTGTAGATTCTTATCTGCTTCTTCCTCTCTTCTCCAGGATCTGTAACTTCACTCTTGTGGCTTTTCTCTGATGCAAGTAAGGCCTGGTCCATTGTATCCAGTTTAAAGAGAAAGCTCAAAAAAGCCTCAGCTCTGATGGCTGTAGACACCACCCACCAATCTGCTTGTATATATGTTGGAGGAAGGATGACACTGATGGACACAAGTCCAGTCGTTGCTGGAACAGGAGCTCACAATAATCTGTGCTCTTTGGAAGGAAGAGGCATTTCCGTGTGAGACTCCCTAGATCAAACTGCTCAAAGCCGTTGCCCACCATGGTCCATTGCCCAACAATAGAGTGCCCTGAGTCCCTGTTCCCTAGACAACACAAGAATCTATTGCCCACCACAGTCCATTGCCCAACAGTAGAGCACCCTGAGTCCCTGTTCCCTAGACAACACAAGAATCCATGGAGCCCAGGTGGCAGGTTCCCCAAACTGGTCAGAAGAACTGCCTGTTTTAATCTAATGACTGCTCTTATTTTTATGCCTCTTTGTTTTTCATGTACAATTAATGTGTTGTGAAGATTCTACATTTGGGGAGCAGGAGTTGTCTTATGAGTTTTATAAGGACAGTATATGAAATTCCAGCCTCCATTTGTCATGGCCTTCTTTTTCCCTCAAATAATTATTCACTGTTTTTTTTTTTTTTTTTTTTGAGATTTTGTGTGCATGTGTCATTTAAGACATTTAGTATGTCTTAGGGATTTGGTGAACACTTTGCCTGTAGCTTTGCTTTTAGGTGTTAGGACATACAGACAGCCACCAGCACAAGGAGCTTTCACACATGATGAGCATTCAGGGTGTGTTTGTTTTTTTTCACTGCTGGGCTTTTGAAGTCACATTGCGCAACATTTAATCTCTTCTCCTAATTTCATACCTACAAAGAGAGCTTGAGTCAGGGACCATGACCTGGGTCATCCACAAATTCATAGTTCCTAAGAGCTTTCTGTACTCTGCTCAGGGGAAGCAAAAAAAAATGAGTAACTTGTACCTGAACTCAACTCTTTTTTTTTTATTTTTTTTTTCCCCCGAGACAGGGTTTCTCTGTGTAGCTTTGCGCCTTTCCTAGAACTCACTTTGGAGACCAGGCTGGCCTCAAACTCACAGAGATCCACCTGCCTCTGCCTCCCGAGTGCTGGGATTAAAGGCGTGCGCCACCACCGCCCGGCCTGAACTCAACTCTTAAGTTGAGGCACAGAATGAAGTTGAATGACCGAAAACCCACAAATGGCATTTTCCTTTTACTGCCTTATTCCAGTTTAACCCAGAGAAACCTGTTGAATCTCCTTCCTATCAGTTTGAAAACTAAATAGGAGCCCACATTCTGTCTAGTCACCAGAACTCTACTTTGAAGAGTTGTATAGCAAATGACCCAACATATAATGTGAGGCAGGCTGTCTCAATGCCTGAACAGTGCCCACATCCTGCTTTCAGTGGGCCCTGAACTCTGAGGAAGCAGGTCTGAGGAGAGAAAGGGTCAGGATGATAGAACACACGTTCGTGAAGATGGAAAGGTACCCACTGTGAGTGGAAGGGTCCAATAGGGCACAGGGAGATGTACAAAAAGAGCTGAGGAGAAGAGCAACAAAACAAGTTCTGTTTAAAAAAAAAAAATGCCATAATGAACCCTAATACTTTGTATGCTAATCAAATACCTGATTTTTAAAAGTGATTGCCTATTGGAAACGCTCATTTCCCTGGAGTGGGTCCATGTACCCTGGATAAACGTAAGTTTCTTTTGCTTTAGCTGGTTTTACATCATCTCAGTATGTCTAAACAGTACACGTTTAATCAATAAAAGGTGAAAATTAACAGATGAATTTCATTTAATAACACAGTATTCACATTGTGGGGGTCTGGGGGATTGAAAGTACTAGGGAGTCATCCTTGATGAAAAGATGGACCAGCATGACAGATTATTGTCTTCTCCTAAGGTTATAAGGGCACATAAGCTGGGATGTAAAATTTCAGTGTGCTGCGCAAAGCCTGTGTTCTAGAATTGGCAGCCTCAGAGCTGTACTCTGGTTCTTGTCTTGAACATGTGTGGAAACAGGTCCTAGCCTCGGCCTTGCGTGCCTTCAGAATTCATTCCACAAGAACCAGTCACCTTTTTTTTTTCATATTCTAGCATTCCTAACATCAAAATATTTCTAAAATTTTACAGTCCTTTTTCTTTTGTTTTCTTTTTTTTGTTTTTTGTTTTTTGTTTTTCGAGACAGGGTTTCTCTGTGTAGCTTTGCGCCTTTCCTGGAACTCACTTTGGAGACCAGGCTGGCCTCGAACTCACGAACTCACAGAGATCCGACTGCCTCTGCCTTCTGAGTGCTGGGATTAAAGGCGTGTGCCATTACCGCCCAATCCTTTTTCTTAATGATACAGAAGATTAAGGGTACATTTTATAATCCAGGGAATCTTCTATTTGAGGAACTATGGTAATCTTAGTGGCAGCTTTATGCCAGTTACCTTTAAACTCTGGCACTACAATTATAACTAAAAAGTGGAGCCCCTGTTATCAAGTTTATGCTCTAAAAGGAGTGCAGATGCTCACTGCTCTCAAACTTCTGCCTGTTACTTAAACTGGACAGTTAGGAAATTTTATTTGTTTTTTTAAGAATTTTACACATGTGCGAAAACTAGAAAAATGAACTTCAGTATATCACACTCATTAAATTAATTTTCAACAATTAATTTATACCTCAAAAAGATGTGCCCACAGTAACACACACCCCAAAATAATAGGGAAGGACTTCTAATTCAAAAGAGTAGTAGACTCGAAAAACAAAATAGTGGTAGACATACTTTTCAATGTCCCTGTTAAGTACAGATAAAACCCATGGTCACCGTATAAAAAATAAAATAAAACAACCAGAACTGGGTGACTGAGATAGCAGAAGGAAAAGGGCAGACTAGCCAGGGACCCTGGGGGTCAACAGCACAGGGGTTCCTGTGGCTTTTCTTGTTGCTCCACAAATCCCATGCTCTCACTGGAGAAGCCAACAACCCCAAAATGCTGAATGCAGAAGGAAATGAGGAAGAATATGCAGCTGGAACAGTATTCACAGAAATCATTTCTACATGTTTCTCAAATTAGTGATTGACATAAGCTTATGAAAAAGCTTCTTAAGCTCAAAAAAAAAAAAAGCCCCCAAATGCATAACTAATAGAGTCACACTTCTGAAAACTAAAGAAAAAAATCTTGAAAGTAATGAGCAAGGAAGGACACATTCTAAAACAAACAGTTCAATTGCCTGGATTTTCTTATTAGAATTCATGAAGGCCAGAAGGGAATGCTACATTCTATGTAGTTGCCAAAAGAAAGAATTCAGCAAAAACATAATTCAGGGAGAGAGGGTATCATGACAGTCTGAGATGTGGGAAAGCCAAGAGGGCTTGTTGCCAGCAGAACTGACTAATAACTTAGCTGAAGCTCTCAAAAGAAAGGAAATGGTTTTCAAAAAAGATATTGGAAGACCAGAAAGGAAGAGTAGAAAGTTGAAATATGGGTAAGTATGACAAACCAAGATTTCCAAATGTTTATTGAAGTTAAAAGTGGTTTTATTGTATGTAGAAGAATTGAAGCAATGACTCCATTATAAATATTCAAGGGTAGAAAGCATGAAGAGAGATGAAGTTTCCATGTCACACAAACTGGTAAAATGCAGCACTGGTGCAGTGTGACAAGCTGTGGGTGGCACACATGCAGCAATCACTAGAAGAGATACGCTTGAAGCTGCTGTCTGTGTGGAATTCTGAGGCGTGCTGCATTAACCTGTAAGAAGGGAGGAAATCTGGGTGGTGGTGGTGCGCACTTTTAATAAGCATCTCAGAAAACAAAACAGGTAGGAAAAAAGTTCAGTGTTCAAAATGATCAATAGAACTAATAAGCCTTTAATCCAGCTAAGAAAAAAAAAAGTAAATTTATGTTACTAGTATCAGAAATGAAAAGAGGTATCACTGCCTACCTAAGACATAACAGATAATAACTGAGCATTATGAACTTAGTGCTCACAAATTCGATATACTAAAAGAAATAGACCAATTATTTAAAAAAAAAAAAAAAAGCATCTGCCACAAATTACAGGACGACTCTAAATGGGCCTACCTTTAATAAATCAGTAGCTAATGACCTTCCAAACAGAAAGCTGCCACCCCAGATGGTTCCTAATGGATCCTATAAAATGGAGGAAGAACTCAAAGCAATTATCTCCAGTCTGTTTATAGGACAGAAACAAAGGGAATGCACCCAACTCGTGGTGTGAGGTAAACACTACCCTCAACAACAAACCAAGCAAAGCCTTTAAAGAAAACAAACTTCAGGCCCTCTGAATAGGTGAGACAGTTGATTGGCTTGATCTGTTTGGGAGGCAACTAGGCAGTGGGACCGAGTCCTGTGCTCATTGCATGAGTTGGCTTTTTGAAACCTGGGGCTTATGCAGGGACACTTGGCTCAGTCTGGGAGGAGGGGACTGGACCTGCCTGAACTGAGTCTACCAGGTTGATCGCAATCCTCAGGGGAGGCTTTGCCCTGGAGGAGGTGGGAATGGAGGGTGGGCTGGAGGTAAGGGGAGGAGGTAGGAGGGGGGAGAACAGGGGAACCTGTGGCTGATATGTAGAACTGAATGATATTGTAAAATAAAATAAAAGGGAAAAAAAAGAAGTAAAAAAAAAAGAAAAGAAAAGAAAACTACAGACCCATAGCTCTCAACTTAGATGCAGAAGTTTTGAGCCAAGTATTAGCTACTTGAATCCAACAGCATAATTTTTCGATGTACATCATTACCAAATGGAATTTACCCCAGATATGTAAGTCTGGGGCAATAGTTTTTAAGTTCATAAATCAATCTATCAGATAACAGACTAAATAAAATAGGGGTTGGGAGTATAACCTCCTGGGAAAAACTTGCCTTCCATATGCAAGGCCCTGGATTTGGTCCCCAGCACTGCCAGGAAGAAGGAAGGTAGGTAATACAATCACATCAGTAGATGGAGAAAAGGCATTTGGTAAAATCCAGTTTCCATTCACAGTTTAAAATCTCTGGGGAACTAAGACAAGGCAGGGAACTTCCTACCTATGTACAAAGAGTGTTACGTCATGTTCAGTGGGAGGGAGTACAGTCTTTCTGCTACGATCATGAAGAAAACAGGTATGTCCCATTTCAGTACTGGAAGGTCTAGCTACTGCGTAAGAATAAAAGGAAATAAATAAAACTCTGCTTTAAAGTAACATGTTTAGAAGGCTGGAGATGCTCAGCAGTCAAGAGCCCTTGCTGCTCTCCCAGGGGTTGCAAAGCCCTATTCTGACCTCTTCAGGCACCAGGCACACATGTGGTGTACATGCGGGCAAAACACTCATACACATAATTAATCTAAAGTGTAAAAAAACAGCAGTGCCGGGCGGGGGTGGTGCATGCCTTTAATCCCAGCACTCAGGAGGCAGAGGCAGGTGGATCTCTGTGAGTTTGATGCCAACCTGGGCTACAGAGTGAATTCTAGGAAAGGCGCAAAGCTACACAGAGAAACCCTGTCTTGAAAAACCAAAGATAGATAGATAGATAGATAGATAGATAGATAGATAGATAGATAGATAGATAGATAGATAGATGATAGATGACAACATCATGTTTATGGGCTGGGAAGATGTCTCAGTGGGTTAAAGCACTTGTCCCACAACCTAAATTTAATCCCTGGAACCCACATGGTAGAGGAAGAGAACCAAGTCCCACAAGCTGCCCTCTGAATGCTACATGCATACTACAGCATGTACACCCATAAATACACAAATAAATAACATAAAAAATAGTACATTTACTTACAAACTCTGAAAACAGAATCTATAACTAGTAAGCAGTTATGTAAGGTTGCAGAATGCAATGCTAATGCACACACACACACACACACACACACACACACACACACACAATCACTCTTATATACCAACAATGTACAAGTAGAATTTAAAATTAGAACATTATGTTAGTGCCTTTCAAAATGAAACGGATGTAAGTCTAACAAATTATTAAGATTGTTGTGAGAGCCGGGCGGTGGTGGCGCATGCCTTTAATCCCAGCATTCGGGAGGCAGAGCCAGGAGGATCTCTGTGAGTTCGAGTCCAGCCTGGTCTACAAAGTGAGATCCAGGACAGGCTCCACAGCTACACAGAGAAACGCTGTCTTGAAAAGAAAAAAAAAAAAAAGATTGTTATGAGAAACCATACATAGTCAAAGTGCAACCACAGGAGAGCTATTGCCAGGCATGGAGGCACATGCCTTTAATCCCAGCACTGGAGAGGTAGAGGCAGGTGGATCTCTGTGAGTTTGAGGCCAGCCTGATCTACAGAAACCCATGCTCATGAAAAGGATGGCTTGATACTCATTTTCCCCAGTTTGACCTATAGATTAAACAGAGGCAGAGAACATTCCCTCTCACCACCCCTATTCATTACGTATGATGCTATCCTTACAGTAAGTGTCCTTTACCAAGTGAATGACAAATGAATTGTAATACATCCATAGACTAGAGCGTTACTCAGAAAAAAAGTTATCAAATCATAACAAAAGCCATGAAAGAATCTAAAATGTGTATTGCTGAGTGAAAGAAGTGAAAGAAGCAAGTCTGAGAAGGTTCATACTGTGTGACCCAAATTATATGACTTCTGGAAATGGTGAAATATAGAGATGATGAATACGATAGGTGATTTATAATGTATAGCTAGCTATACATTAGAGGTTTAGGGTAAAGAGAGGCAAGGGGTAAGGGTAAAAAACTGGGTCATGGGACTTTTCAACTGATGAGGCTATGATTCCTGGTAAGTTTATAATAATAGATTCCTGACATTAGCATTTGTTGAATAATAATATATCAAGACTGGCTCACCAGTTACAAATGTGCCACACTAAAACAGGGAGTCAATAATAGAAGGGAAATGAGGCAGAGGGTAGGGTAGTCAGGGGAACAACGGATCACCTGGACCTGGAAAATTACATTTTTGCAAGAGTAGGTACTTCGGAAGTCAAACTCCTGAATCCAGCAGCATTGGTCTTTCCTGTTCTTGAGAAGGCCGGCCCCTCCGCTGCTCAGGTCTGCCTCGTTCCTGCTTCCCTGCAGTTGGACTTCCTTTTCATCCACTCTGCTCATGTGCATTAGCTCTCCTGACCCTGCTGCTCATCTGGACCAGAATGTTCCCTTCCTGGAACTCCGGATGTTTTAGATGTCACTCTGACCTCTATGTCTCTTAGTTAACTTTTCAAATGTATACTAAAGAAGCTTAGCTCTTTCCATTTCATCCACAGCCATACACAGCCGCATGGTCCCCTGGAGACCTGCCAATCCATACATTTCATCCACAGAATGGGATAGCATTGCTCAGCCCCCACATCAAGGAGAAAGGGACCACCATGCACGCCCTGCATCCTGGGCAAAGAGGGCCTTAAAAGGCGGCATCTACATGTGCTACCATTAATGAGTCTGGGGGGAGGGGGCAGCAGCTAGCAGGTATTGACATTAATTAACGAGAGCCTGGCGGGAGGGCTCAGCAGCTAGCAGGTACTAATATTAAAGCTCCAAGCTAACACTCCCCGTGGCTGAGTGCGACTCTCAGGCTCCAAGCTGACACTCCCAGTGGCTGAGTGTGACTCAGACAGCTGCATTTCGCCCGCTATGCATAGGATGCGTAGCCAAGATCCCTGACACAGCCAGTTTGGAAGAACAGTTTTCTCACAAGGTGGCTCCATGTGCAGCTAGGAGAATACGTTTAAATTCATCTCCGTAAGGAGGGAGTTTGGGGATCCTCACGGGCTGAGGTGTGGGAAAGGTGACAGGAGACTAGGAAGTAGTCCAGGGTTCCGGCATGTGCAGTCAGTCTTCACCATCACCATCCTCACACCTCAGAGGTATTGATCTACCACACAAATGGGTGGTTTAAAAAGTCAGCTAAAAGCAAGTAACCAAGAGCAAGGGAAGCCGTGAAGTTTTGAGGGCTTCTCTGGGCTTTCCTCGGTCTGACAAGGATGTATTGCAGCAAGGTACATTTAGATGCTGGACATTAATCTCTCAGGTAAGGAGTCTCTGAGTTCCCCATGCTAGACTGGATGGCTGTATTATTATACACACATACACCAACTTCAGCAATCAGCAATGTTGCCAGGTGGTGGCGGCGGCGGCGCACGTCTTTGATCCCAGCACTCAGGAGGCAGAGGCAAGCAGATCTCTGTGAGTTGGAGGCCAACCTAGTCTACAAATTGAGTTCCAGGACAGCTAAGACTGTTACACAGAGAAACCCTGTCTCAAAAAACCAAAAAGAAAATAAAAATCAATAATGTTATAATAGCATAGTATGACTAATGTCCTCTGCCCTTCCTAAAAGCCCCTGGCTCGCACTAGCTCAGCAGTGAGAGGATATGTCCAGTCAGGGGCTGAAGGGGGTCCTGGGCCTGCACGGGGATGCACACACCCAGACAGGATCCAGGGCCCAACCTGACACACAGCCTGGCTACTCCTACCAGAACAGGCCTCAAGTCTCACATCAGAACTGATTTGCAGCTAACTAAAGGCAGGCTTTCTCTGTCTGCCTTTGCTTTTCACAGTCTGTGAGAAAGATTGATCAGTTGCTACTTTGCCTCCAAGAAAAATGACTACCACACTTTGTCATAATATTTAGAGCACTTGGTAACTCTTTTACCTTTGTGATTTTCCTTGCCTCCCACAGGAATTTGTGTTTGTATGTGTTTCCTTTGAACGTCATGGACTTCCCACCCTCTGGAGCAAACCTGAAGGACAATGGTCTTTACTGACTTTTTTTCCACCTTGAAAACAGAATTCCACACTGAACAGGGTCACTGGTGCATTTGTCATGTACAGTCTGACCTGTGCTCAGGAAAGGAAAGAAAACTCAAATTCCTTAACATAGTTGATAGATGTCGTCCAACGTCAGCTCTTCTCTCTGTATTCCAGTGTTCTCATCCAGCCCCTTCCTCTGCTTGGATTTCCTTCCTCCCTCTCTCAAACCAGTAGGTTCCCAGGCATCTTACCAAACTATGCAGCTGCAGCTTCTCTGGGGAGGCCTTCCTGGCCTCAGACAGCGGTTCTACCTGCCCCATGCTGCCCACAGCCTTGCACCAGGTGGAGCATGTGTCTAGAACACAAAATGCAGGTTCTCATCTCAAGCACTGGGCTGCATTTCTAACACCCTCCTACACAATGTGCTTCTGCCGGTGCTGTTGGGGTGGTGAAACGATGCATACTCTTCTTCTTACCTGGGTATCTCATTCTCCTGCTTTGACAGGAACAACGACCAACTTTTAATCTCCGATTCCAGCATTGGCCACAGAGCTGACAACACCACTTTTCTGACTGCTTTTGAGGGACAGTTGGTGAGTCTGCAGATGCAGAACCAGGGATACAGAGAGCAGCCTGGGGTTTGTAACATGATAAACCTCATCAGTGGAGGGGACTGTGTGAGCATTTGACATGATGTAGTTCAGACCCACATTGAGATGTTAAGAAGCTTGCAGAAACCCTAACTCTTTTTTTTTTTTTTTTTTTGTAAAGGATTTTTAAAAAATTGTGTGTGCTTGTGTACGTGTGTGTGAGTGCCCTTGGAGGCCAGAAGAAGGTGTCAAATCCCCTGGAGCTAGAGTTACAGGCAGTTGTGAGCCACCTGCTGTGGGTGCTTGGAATCAAACTCCAGTCCTCTGCAAGAACAGTAAGCACTATTACCTACCGACCCATTTTTCTGCACTCCCTACCTCTCTGCAGATAGGGAAACAGATCTCGAAGGAACTGCCTGACCTGCTGGGACCCCACAAGTAGAGAGCAACTAAGCTAGGATTGGAATCCAGCCCTTGCTTATGGAAAGGCTTTTCAACTTAGAGTTTAAGGACTAGACCCTCCCAGGAATGTCTTTGGCTTATGAAAACTTTCTCTTTTTCCCCCCCACTGGGGATGAAGCCCAGGTAAGCACTCTTCCATTGATTTACAACTCCAGCCTGAAGTTGTTGGATCATTTGTATTGTCCTGAGTACATACTTACTAGTTTCTCTGAAGTCTCACTGCTCTTCTTTCTTGTTTCTTTTAACTTACACTCTGTGGGTTTTAATTACAGAAGGTGGAGTTCTTGTTTCTCAGGCCCTGAGCCCTGCGCTTGCCATGAGACCTGACATCAACTTGATCTTCCCTTCCCATTTACTCACCTGTCACTATTGTGCAGACCATGAGACTCCTAAGAGCGGGCACCATGCCCTCAGCAGAGTGTGTGTCACACAGTCCCAGTCGAGTCAGAATCAGCCGGTCAGGACAAGGAGAGCCTTTGACCTCTGGGCAGCATACACATTTGCATCCAGACTGCTTTGGCAGCCACGGCAGGCTTAGATCATCCCTTTGAATGCTATTGGACTGTGACCCAGAGGTGTCTCTCTTAGGCCTTGCTCTTCCTCTGTGTCTCTCCCGTGATGACTCATATGTGTCATAAATCGCTGCTGGTGTTCAGAGTCAGTGACACTACACTAGTCTCAGACATGGCAAAAGAAAACCATAATTCATCACAGCAAAAGCCACTGCACATCTGCCGCCCTCTCAGAGCGGCAGCGATCAGATCTTAATGACTGAAAACAATGGCTTATAAGACAGTTACACACCTTCATCCCACTCCATAGGCACAGCGGGGCTTATTCACCCCGATTTACACAGAGGAGGGTGACCAGAGCGACTCGGTGACAGATCTGGGGTTTAGAGGTAAGTCCTCAACCATCTCTTGGATCCTGGCTTCTCTTCCGTGATAAAGCAGTGTGGCACTGATTGATTGTGGGCTTCCAACAGTGTGGAGGTGACAAGCTCAGGATAGTCTCACTAGGGACGGAGGGGACAGCTTTATGGAGTGTCATGTGGCCACCAGCCTCCTTCATCCTTCTTTTGGGAGACAAATGAGGAAATCCGGGGACCTGCTCTCTGGATAATACATGACTAACTCCATGGCGAGGCTAGTATTTTGTCCTACTTTCCACTCCTTTGTGCATGTGCACGTACACACACACACACACACACACACACTCACACACTCAGGCATGCATGCACACTGAAAGAAACAAACAGGACATTTATACAAAGACATAAAGAAGCAGAATACAATTGTAAATTGGCAGAACCACTTTCAGAAAGCTTTTTAGCAGTATCTACCTCATGGATATGTGTCTAATAAATATTACTCATACTAGAGTATAATAGATATACACTATAATGTTCTAGATCCATTATTTATAGTATCATAAAACCAAAATTCTAACTAGAGTAGAAAGGGCAAAAAATAATGTTGAGCACTCCTGTAAGGCATCACTACGCACAGTAAAAAAAGCTGCTGCCAATGAATAACAATGCTTGTTATGAAAGGACCAAGCAGATGCCATAACAGGCTGCTGTCAGAGATCAGGCCTCAATTTCCGTTTCCTGAGACTTAAGCAAGCAGTTTCTGGGAGGGCGGTGAACAAAAGACATAGTCCTTGCTGTAGCTCCCTTCTGCACGTACTCTGACTGCTCAAGGTCCAGCCAATTGCTTACTGCCTGGGACCCCTCATCAACTTAGAGCTACATGCATGGGTCAATGTGAATGTGCAAGGCCGGCCAGCCTCCATGGCAGCTCAAGGACAGAGCCTGGGCCACTCAGTCAGCCCCCACAGTCAGTACATGCTAGGCCAGCAGCCTCCAGCAGCTCAAGGACAAAGCCTGGAACTTGTCCAGCTGTGCCCAAAAATGATAACTGTGACTCCTAACCAATAAATTCCAAGGTTACACACCCTTGCCCAATCATATGATTCAAAGGCTTGTACCACCCTGCTTGTAGTTTTTTCCCTTTAAAAGCCCCTCACTCTGAGAGCTCAAGGCCGTCCTCCTCCACCCGCAATGTCAGAGCATTGGATAGGGACCAAGCCTGGGCTTGCTTGTTATCAATGAACCCCTGTGTGTTTTGCATTGGATATCGGCATTGTGGTGGTCTTGCTCGGGGGGCTTGTGACATGAGCACAACAGTTACAGTCATCTTTCTTACGAGGAGCCAAACACAAATGCTTGTCTCTGCCCATAGGCTCAACATTGGTGGCTTCAACCAAACTTGGATAGAAAATAATCATTAAAGAAGCAATTATGGGGCCTGGGAAGATGGATTAATGGTTATAGATACTTGCTATTCTTGCAGAGGACCTGAGTTCAGTTTCCAGCACCAACATGGTGGTTCATAGCCATCTCTAACTCTTGTTTCCAGGGGATCCAACACCCTACCCTGTTCTGGCCTCCATGGGCAGTGCACATACATGGCACACATACATATATGCAGGCAAACATTCATACACATAAAATAAAATAATCATTTTTTTAAGAAAAAAGATATTGTGCTGTGTTAATAAATAGATTTTTTCTTTGTTATTATTACCTAGATACAGTATAATAGCTGTTTTTGTATAACATTTCCTTTAAGTATCATAAGCAATTAGGATGACTTGAAGTGTGAAGAAGGCTATGTATATGTAGTATGTGTATGGGGCTGAGGGGGTCCACATACTGGAGCTAGAGCCCAGGACTTGGTGCATGCTAGACAAGTGCTTGATCACTAAGCTACATCCCTGGCCCAGAGCTATATGTAAACAATATGCCCTTTTATATAAGGGACTTGAGGACCTGAAAGGGTGGGCATCTATGGCAGAACTCTACTGTAGTGTTCCATCTCTGCAGTTTAAAAACAATCAAAGTTGGTGTATGGTGAACAGTGAGATGGTGGCGGCCTTTGCGGAGCATTAATAGGGAGGCAGCACAGGCAGGCTTTTCAGGATGCTGGGAATCAGTTACACGCTGTTCCAGTGGAGGTAGCATGAGTGTATACCATGAAGATCGTTAATCTCTATGTCTAGGATTTATGTGCTTAATTAAGTATAAACTATGCCTCAATAAAAAAAATTAAAGGGGTAGATTTCTTAAATTATGTTTTGTTCCTATGTATATGTGAACAATTCTAGGTATATATGGAAATTTTTTCTACCCCTTACTACATTTAGGCATTCTTAATGTTTGAGCGACCTAATTTCTTCCAAAGGGGCATAATAGCAATAATGATGCTTCTCTTAGACTTGTGGGTTTGTCTGCTTTCCATTACGGCAACAAAATACCTAAGATAAACAGTTTAGAGAAAGGTCTGTTTGAGCCCATAGGTGGAGAGTTTTCAGTTCAAGGTTGTTTGGCCTCGTTGTTTAAGGCCTGTGGTGAAGCAGAGCATCTTAGTGGGAGCATGTGGAGAAAGAACTCACCTCATGGAGACAGTGAGATGGACAAGAAGCAGTCCGACCTTTACAACACCTTCGACATTCCCTTAAAGGGCATGCCCTCAAAGGACTTCACTTCCAGTAGGCCCTGCTTCCCAAGGAGTTTACCTCCCAACATGCTAGGAGCTGGACCAAGCCTTTAGACACATGAGCCATGGAAACCATTGCAAGTTTCTAGGAGAACCAACCATGTTACGGAGTACTTCGTGGGGAGCCTGGGACACACTGTAAGGTTCAGTGATTGTTGACGATAAGAAAATTCTGTCAGGAGCACTTTCTTTCTCGGGCAGTAGGGGGTTGGAGACAGGGTTTCTATGCATATCTCTGATTATCTTGGAATTCACTCTGTAGACCAGGCCGGCCTCAAACTCAGAGATCTGCCTGCCTCTGCCTCCCGACTGCTGGGACTAAAGGTGTGTGCCACCACTGCCCAGATGAAACACTTTCTAACATCAATTAACATCACCAAACACTTCTGATTTTGAAGAGGGGGGGTCTGGTGTCCCCAGATCTATGAAAAGATTCCTCAGTAGTGAAAAACCAGGGTGGCATGGGTTATCTTAATATCCTGCAGCTAGACTTTTCTAGGTTGGAGCTGCAGCAAATGTCTCTTCAGTTTGGTTCTTTGGGATAGATTGCCTGAGGATTCTGTATCAGGATGAACATTTTGAGTTTTCTCATATCTTCAAGTAGTTGTAACAGGTGTTCCTGTAATGTGAATGCATAAGGAAGTACCTCAGGGTCCCTGTTAGGTCACGATTAACTGGACTCTTCAGCACCCTCTGCACTGGCTACACATCAGTTAACTTTTGTCTTTTTTTTTTAGGCCGGGCGGTGGTGGCACACGCCTTTAATCCCAGCACTCGGGAGGCAGAGCCAGGTGGATCTCTGTGAGTTCGAGGCCAGCCTGGGCTACCAAGTGAGTTCCAGGAAAGGCGCAAAGCTACACAGAGAAACCCTGTCTCGAAAAACCTGGTTGTCCTGGAATTCACTTTGTAGACCAGGCTGTCCTCGAACTCACAGAGATCTGGCTGCCTCTGCCTCCTGGGTGCTGGGACTAGAGGCGTGCGCTGCCACTGCCCAGCTCAGTTAACTCCTTTAAAAATGAATAAATTTGAAGCTGTAAGACTTCTGAGGCTTTCATATCACTCTGTTGGGCTGTTTCCTGTCGCTGTAACAGAAGGCTAGGTAACGTATAAATGGAAGACATTTATTTTGGCTCATGATTCTGAGGCCTAGGGAGTCCAAGAGCAAGATAACAGCTTCCGGGAAGGGTCAAAGGGCAGCAGGGCAAGTCAACACAGGTCAAAGGGCAGCACGGGTCAAAGGGCAGCACACAAGAGGCAACCTTGCTTATAGGAACCTGCTTTTGTGTGAACAAGCCCACTCCAGCAAGAAAGACAGCCATTCGCCTTAACCACTAATCTTTCTTAAAGCCCCACCCTAACATCCCCTCAATGGCCATCAGTATCCAGAGTGAGTCAGACAAGATAAAACATAGCCAAACCATAAGGGCTAACCTGTAGTGGCCTAAATCCATATATCCAGAGGCAGGAACTGTGCTTCCGGGTCACCCAGCTGGCCAGGGACAGAGAGCCCAGACGCCTTCTAGGTGCCCATCATCCCACTCTAGACAAGTGCACTAGCCTTTCTTCCTCGATACACCAGATCCCACTTCCTACAGCAGCTGCGCCGGAAGCTACCTTTAGGAGCACCCCAGTCAGCCCCCACCCCAGGGGTTCAGTCCTGTGGCAGTGTGCTCAAACAGGAGCTTGCCTGTCTCTAAGCCCAGCCTATCCGCTCTGAGTCAAGGTCTTGTCCATCATACGATCATGGAAAGATGTCAAGAAGCCAAAGACTAAGGATAGTTAGCAGTAGATTAAACTAAAAACCTTTAGACTGTGCTTTTTGAGTGTAGAGATCATAAATCTATGAAATACAGGAAGGTAGAAGAAGGGAGACTGGGAGTGGGGAGCAGGAAGGAGGGGAGACAGAGTGAACATAGTCGGGGTGCGTAGCAAACTTGAATGCATCTGCATTTACATTCCATGTCTTTACATGCCAATTACAGACATGAAAACAGTACTTTTTTTTTTTTTTTAAGCGTAAAGGGAGTTTGTGGAGTAATGGTCACTGCCAGGGCCTTGTCCTCCATGGTCACGGCACTGAGAGCAGTCATTCTCTGGTACAGGGGCAGGCTTCTCAGCTCCAGGAACACTGTCTTCCAGTCTGGAGGATAACAGCCAACAGAACTGTGTCATGGACACCTGCAGCCAGAGGCTTCTGGAATCACTGAATGGTCAGACATCCCCGGGCTGCAAGTGGAAGGGAGGTAGATTCTCAAGAGTTCATCGCAAGCTGGGAGGTGGTGGTGGCACACGTCTTCAATCCCAGCACTCGGGAGGCAGAGGCAGGTGGACCTCTGTGAATACAGATGGCCAGTGCTACACAGAGAAACCCTGTCTCAAAAACAAAAACAAAAACAAAAACAAAAAACAAAAAACGAACAAACAAAAAGAGTTAATCACAAATTGTCACTGGAGACCATTGTTAACCCTGGCCACAGGGCCTTTGAACAATGGACACAATGACAGGTGATCTTGAGATTGCTACCAGCCAGTTGTACACATCTGAAGATCCTGGAATTGGTAGAATTCTAGAGGTTTCCTTCTAATTTCATCCTTTGTCAATTATATTTCCTTTCATCCAGGAGCATTGTGTTGTTGGTGTGAAACTCTTGTTCCAGTGCGGCCAAGTGAGATGCTGTTACCTCACATGTGAAAAGCCACATGATCTGTAAGGCCTTCAGGACCCCAAAACTCTCAGAATGGTTTGTACATATGTGGGTAGCTATGTATAAAGCTTCATTTTTAATTAAAATGTACAATCATTTTTAATACAAAACTTCGTAAGAAGAAATGGCTTGTCTGGGAATCACACGTAGGCATGGCCTTCACATCTCATCTTCACACCTGTGACCATCCACAGAAGTCATAATAGAAAATGCTGCACAGTAGTAATTGGGAGAGAAATAATTACCTCCTGGGAGGGGGCAAAAGGAAAGATATTCTTCCAAATGGAATTATTGAATGTAAAGATGAGCTCACTTACTGTTAAGCCACCAAGCTGACCCCCTTGAAGTGTCCTTTTTTCTGACAAGCTTCATTTTTCTGTACAGGGATGCAGGATGTTTGGCTTATTAAAAACAGTGCCTCCAGAAAATATATTCAACAAAATCATAGAAGAAAACTTTCCTAACCTAAAGAAAGAAATACCTATGAAGATACAAGAAGCTTACAGAACACCGAATAGGCTGGATCCAAAAAATAAGTCCCCTCGCCACGTAATAATCAAAACACTAAACACACAGAACAAAGAAAAAATAT